AGGTAAATATCCACTGCTAACCACTGACACTGAGGTGAATAGTTTTTTTAGTATATACTAACACAGTGAAATAATATACACCACCAAAAATTGATTTGAGTAATTTCTTCGCTTGTCATGGATACAAACCAGGACGCCATTTTTTCCTGAGTTGCTTGGAGGTAAATAGCAAAGGATATTTGGAGTTTGACTAGCCAATCAGAGCGCGCCTTCAATGCTATCCACTGTTTTAGTATATACTAAAATAGGCTATTTACTAGTCTAGAGTGAAGTTGCCTTTGATCTTTTTAATGCTAAATCGCCAAACTGATATCAAGGGTTAACAGTTGTGAATCAGCTCATTCTTCAATCTCAGACAGTTAATTACCCGATCACTCCCATTAATTCTGATCACTGGCGAAGCAAATGGCTTAAGACTAGTTCCTGCCAAAGCATTATAATTTTCTGTTGGATTTTTACTCTTAAATTTTCCTCAAGTTTCTAACAGCTGGTAAGACATTCAAACAGTAACTTCGGCAAATATAACTATTTGTTCGCGAAAGTAATCAGCTGAATCTCAAAAGGTCTTTGAGCTTTGGTAAGATACAGCTGTACTGCAGTGTCTCAAATATAGCGTCATACACATTAGTGGTACAAATGGAACCTCGATTTAACGAACCTCTATATAACGAAGTCCTCGGTTTCACGAACGATACTTCAGTTTCAGCCCGGCTAAAGCTACAATAAAATGTATGCCACAGAACCTCGATATAACGAACCCTCGATATAACGAACCACTTTCGCCAGTCCCTTGGCACTTTGTGAAACCGAGGTACCACTGTAGTATATTTCAAAATGAAGAGAGATCCAGTTACCCTTTGAATTTCATGGCCACAAAATACTCAAAAACTTACCACTGTAGAGGTTCTGTTGATTGTGTGATACTGTCTCGTCCATGATTTTCTAGATGCATTCGATCCGCCAGATTCTGACGATCCAACAGTACTGTTTGGCTGTAAGAAACATTGATTAAAAGGACGCCTCGTAAATTTCATTCTTCATCCAAATAATCAGTTGAAAAACATCACTCTTACCAGACAGATTAAACCTGAGTTTATATTTCTATAAAAATTTCTACTAACCATTCTGAAAAAAGTTTTTCTTCAAAGATTACTCAATGCTTGTTGAATCAAAATGGCGAGTCAGTAGTTTTGGCCGTAAAGAAATATAGGTTGTTTCCAAGACAACGACAATTACAAAACAACCGCTGGAGCCATGGGGCGATTTGAACCCAGTTTCCTACACGTGGGTAAGTTCCAAGATGGCGGCGAAAGGTATTCGCTCAGTGTATGGGAAACTTTCTCGCTTTGTACCGCCTAGATTGTATACAAGAAACTACTGTCATCCAGTAACGGAAGAACAATATCTATACCACCCAATGGTGCGTCCCTTGGAACCAGAAGTGCAGACAATTTCTTTAACAAAGACCTTAAACATGGGGGACATTTCAAGTTGCTTGCAAGACACATCCATTGACTCTGTCACCAGAGAAGAAATGATGGGAAAATTCAAACAAAATATACTTCAGACAAGGCTTTTCAACTTTGATGGAGACCATGCAACAAGGGATATGGCTGCTATGCCCCTGATGCAAAATATGCTTAGGGTTGTGTGGAGTCATGCTAAATGGTGGGAAATACAGCTTACTTATATCCACGGAAGTTCCTTCAGTATTCTTTTACTTTGAATTTTGAGTTTGAAGAGACTGAACTGACATGAAAAGGTCCCCATTTCTTTTTGTAAAGTGAATTTATCTGGAACCCCTTTGACAATGCAGTGCCCTTACTGCCCCACCCTTGGTGGGAGAGTATTTACTGATGGGGGAAGGGTTGGCTGTTTCTTTTTGTTTTTTTTCTTTTTTAATAATGTTTTTTATTTGTATTGTTTTTTTATTTGAACATCTTACACTATGGATGGTCATCAAAAAGAAAAAAAGATACACCAAAAACCCACATGTAGTATTGAATTCTTACAATTGTTATAGAAGACGTTTTGACTTATCGGGGAGACTTTTAACTTTTGAAATTTGATCAAAATTTTTGGACAACCTTCTACATTTTTATTTAAGCTGCTTCATCTAATGACACTGAAAATTGTATGAGAATAAGTAAAATTATTCTCATTTCACCAATAAAACCTTTTAAGGGTTTATTGTAAAACATATAAGTGAAAGTCTTTTTTTATGTAACTAATATATTTTTATGCTTTAGCTTCCCAGGACTTATGGATACCTCTCTGACTTACAACCCTCATGTCTCTGCAAATTGGGAAAGGGAACACAAAATACTGGTGTCTGGACACCTGGGCTTTTTGTTATCCTCTAAAATTCCTCTTAAGCAAGTAGCTGACAGAAATGAGATAGAAAAAAGCAAAGAAATCCAGGTGGAAAAGCCTGAGATAATTTCTCCCGTATTTCACTTTCCCCTAACAAGAATCAGACCAAAGTTTGACACTGGCTTTCACAGTTCTAAGCCTTTTCCTTATCCTCATACCTTCATCATTGTCAGCGAGGATACAAAGTGCTCAACAGGTCAATTAATTGGTCAAGGTAAAGTTTAACAGTTCAATGTTGCTGACTTGGAAAGTTGTAAGGTTTTATAAAGAGCCTTTAATTATTTGGGAAGTGGGAGATACAGTGACCCCATGGTCTGTGGACTGGACTCATGACCAAGAGGACCGTGATTGAGACCCGACCAGGTTATTTTATTGTGTTCTTGGCCAAAACACTTTACTGTCACAGTGCCCTTTTCCACCCAGATATACAAATGTGTACCAAAAAACTGTCAGGGAAGCCTCATCAAGGCTGTGCTCTAAGAAACAGTGAAGGGAGTCCAATGTTCTGAAACTTTGAAATGTAGGGTGCCCAGCATATGCTTTTATATGAAAAAAATAAATTTCCTAAGTTGGCCATGAATGAAATTAAGGTACCAGGGGCCATGGGCCACTGCTAGACCTCAGCCCTGCTCATGAAATTCTGGGGGCAACCCTGAAATAGGTGGCATTCTATTATGAGGAAAAGGAGTCTATTTTCCTAATAAGACTGGAGATGACAAACCAATGGAAATTAACCTGGATATTTGCAAAATATTGGAGATGACGAAGAACCTAGTGAGAAACTAGTAGTGGCCCTAGATTAGTACCCAGAGATGTAGCTGGAGGGGGGGTCCTAAGGTTACATGATCACCTGCTTAGTACATTCTGTTTGACACAGTGTGACCCCCCCCCCTTCTTTGAAAAAGTCCTGGCTAAGCCCTTAATACTAACTTCGGTAAAAGTAAGATTTACTGTTTGCAAAATATTTGTGGCATAAAAACTCGGAGAAAATACAATTCAAAGTTTCAAATTGTTTTCAGCTGAAATTCTTTTTTAAGTGCAATGCATTTTACACTGTTTTGCACAGATAAAGATGTTTTTTTCCCTTTGATTCCCTTTCAGGTATCATGTTTGTCTGTGCTCGGCTTGTTGCAGAAGCTGTGCAGAATTACAAATATCAGCTGGGAGATGATTTGGAAAAGCCCCTATCCAGCCAATGCATCATCACTGATGGAATTCGACTCTCCTTTATACACTATCAGCTGAACACCTTAAGTTTTAATGGTGATGAAGGCATCAAAAACATGGCTTGGATTAGCCCAGGGGTTTTTATGTACAAAAAGGCCATGTTTGAGGATTTGGAAAAACCAGTTGCAGAAAAAACTGTTAAGGAAAGGAAAAGATTTCGACGTCCAGTGACAAGTAAAGATCCAGCAAAGCATGAAATAGTTTTGGAAGAGTTTAATCCTGACTGCTTTGAAACATTTGTGAAAATGATTGTAAATGGATGCAAAGCCAACTGACAAAAGTGGAGAGGAAAACCTGCTCAGAGTTGATGAAAACAGTGTCTTGAGTGGAAACCCAATACCTTTGTGAACCTTATTTTGAATTCTATAACAAGACAGCCTGAAAACACATTTAAAAAAGTAAAAAATGCAGAAGGACTACTTTTGGCCAAAATTAGGTGCAATGTGTATCTTGTCATCCTGTGGAAAAAACTCTGCTCTTCCTAAATAACCCACCTTTCAGTTTATTCAAGGAAATTTGTTAAAGCTGTCTTTCAAGAAGAAAACAGTCAAGACTTGTATGAATTTATTGATTAGTTATGAGACTGATACATGCTGCAGATGACAACTAGTTGTGAACTTTTTTTTCATTTACATTGGGAGCTGGTCTCCCCTTTGCAAACCTAATTCTCAGGGTTTGGGCCATCTGAAAATAATGCAGACCATGCTATTTTAACAGGTCCTTTATACAACAACTCCCACCCCTTTAGAAAAAAGGTCTATTTACCAGAGGCTCGCTGCTTCTCGGGCTTTCCAACCGGACGCGAACCCCTAACCGTCAACGGCCATTTCTAGAAGATTCCCGTGGTACCCCTCCCTAAGCCTATGATTGGTCCCTTTTCTAAACAGTGAATGTGATGACGTAGTCGAAAAATTGCCAAACAAACTATGGCGACAGAGGAAATCACTGGGAATATCGACATGGCGGCCGCTATAACCCCTTCTTCTCACGTCCAACATGCTAAAGACTGGCTTTGGCAGCGGAAAGCTCAGATGAAACCATGGACAGAGTTTTTTAAGGGTTCGCGCTTTAGCCGGCCAAAGACGGTCGCTGAAGCTGGAAGAAGGGTCATGAAGAACTTGGAGGAATATCAAAGCAACTATGTGGTTATAACGCTTCTTTTGATTTTTTACTGTGTGTAAGTTATCTTATTGCCTTTCGTTTGTTTAGTTTAAAGAGAGAAAGAGTCTGTGCAGATATTACTTATATAATCATTGCAATCGCGCACTCTAAACTCAGTCCATAAAATTCATTCTTGGATCGATTATCCAAGAACACGTTTCGAATTCTATGTCGGTACTTTTTGCCTAACCTCTCTTTGAAGAGTGAACAATTTTAAACTGTAAAAGCTGCATCTCATGTTTTTTTTTTTGGTGAAAGATGGATAGCATGACACTCATTTGTACTCCACTTGAGCGGAATCGGTATTTTAACTTTTAAGTATTTTAATGATTCAAGGCGAATTACATAAAAAATCTTAAGGAGCGATTAGTATCAGTGCCACTTTAAGGTTTTTTTTTTTGTAAACAACTGAAGCTTACATTTTGAGCTCTTGATTACGCTATATGACTGTTTTATGAACAATGAATGAACTATTTTCTTCACCAAAAATCAGGAATTAGAGAATTTCTTTTAATCATTGCTTCAACATCATTGCTCAATGACGTAAACACGCGAAAAAACTAGCACATTTTTCCATGTATGTCTCAATATCCATGCCTACAGAGCTGTAGCTCTTGCAAGTTCTTCTATTCAACATATTTTAAACTAACATATGGAGAAGGAAGCATCCAAGTAGGTGTGCAGTTTTCGTTAAGATTTGAAAGTTGAGCTTAGCTTGCAACATCAGGGCAGAGGGATTCATTCAAAGTCATAATAGTTAGTGTTCTGCCTTATGGAAATTGTTTGTGTGTTGGAGGCCAGATTCAAACTTGGACAGGGTCGATCTGTTTTTGTGGCTTTTAATTTTAACTTGTTTTGTTTTCTCTTTTTGTGGGCAAAATGGGGTAGGGGAGAAGGGGTGGCATGCACTTTTAGAGACTAGATTTCATTGGTACCTTTAAACTGCGAGGAAACCATATGAAGTGCTGAGAGTAACATACAGTGGCTTAACTTCCCACCCAGGAATTAAGTAATACACTTAGTCTCTTCATGCTACAGAAACTAGGATAAGTTTCTACATTAATCTAACTCAATGTATCTCACCTAAAAACACAATGCAATGACTGGAGTAGGGCCCAAACTCAGAGCTTTAGATGCTGGATGGGATGTAATAACTGTGTCTCCTCCCTCCTTAAAGTAGAAAATAAAGAAATGATATGACAAATAGCTGTATTATTTTGTAATGATGTTCTGAATAAGTAGTTTTTGTTTTCTTATTTTTCTTCCTTAGTCTTTCATCACCATTGCTACTGATAGCATTATCAGTTGCTGGGGGTGGCTGTTTCTACATATCTTACAAAAACCAAGGACAGAAGATACGAGTGTTAGGTGAGAATTCTTCAATGTTCAGTAAAGAGGAGGGCTTTGGGATTTTCGGTTTTGACTGTTTTTTGGATCAGTTTTTCGGTTTTTCGGCCAAAAAGGTTCGGTTTTTCGGTTTTGAAGTTCAGAGCGGTTTGCGGATTTGACGTGTTTTTGCATTTGGTTTTCGGTTTTCACGCAAACTCTGATGCGGTTTTCAGTTTTTCCTTTTTGACCCCTTTAAAGGTGAAAATGTAGCGGTTTTGTCAGGTTTGCATGCGGTTTTCGGTTTTGCTGCCTTTTTTGATTGGTTTTTTGGTTTTGGAGGTTTTTTTCTCCAGTTTTGCAGTTTCCCAGGGGCCCCAATGCCCCCCTCAGTAAACAGCTTCAAAGGTGGATCAACGGGGAGGGCTCCAAGGATACCAATGTGATTCCAGTTTTTTGGTTGTCTACTCTAAAACTGAAAGTATCAATGATTATCTTCATTTCTCAGGTCGTGACCTAAGCAGAGCAGAACAGTATGGACTTGTGTTACTGATCAGTCTTCCCCTCTTCATTTTGGCTTCAGCGGGATCAACAGTGTTTTGGATTATAGGTGTGTATATAATGCATTAATTAGAATGCTTTTGCAAAAACAAGGATAATTATTTGGATTTGAGAATGTCAGATTTGGGGGGCTAGGGCAGAACTTACAGTGGCTTTAAAATGGGATGTAGGTGTGATAAGCTGCTGCACTGCTCACGGAGGAAAGCTGACTTGTATAGTCAGCATGGTCCTTAAATTCCTCTAGAGTTCCCGTCCTTCTCAATTTTCTGTCAACCCCTCTCCAAATCAGAGAGAGTCTGCCCTTTCTGTTGGTCTGCCTGTCTCTTTGTCCATCTCAGTATCTACCAAATCTTACTAGACCTTGATTAACTATGATTTGATAGAACCCAGGTTGTGCCCTTGCTCATTGTACATTAGAGGAGAAGGTAAAATCTCCTTAGTTACAAACAGATGTTAAGTGGATTCATAGCTCTTTGTTCTTTGAAAATCAAACTGGATTCTTGCAATTTATAGACCTGCTTGTTAAAATATCTTTAAAATTTCTTATTCATTTAACAGGTTGACATCTTAACTTAACAGAGCTCTGGTTTATTTTTTATTTCAGGGGCATCAATCTTTACAGTTGGACTTCATGCATCTATGTTGAGCACATCGGACACACCTGAAATAACAGAGCAGATAACAATGGAAGAAGTTTAATTAAAAGAAGTGGAAGAATGATGATTTGGTATACAGCAACAGTGGGAATAAAAAACCTTATGTCAAATGACTGTGCTCTACAGAATCATCAGTGTTAACAAACTAAAATAAGCCATCTGAAGTTCTTGAGGGGCATGTTACTTCTAGTTAGAATGGTTGTCTAGATCACTCATGGGAGTCAAAGAGTGAAATAATGACACATCCTGTACAGTAGTATCCATCTTTACTGTAGGCAAAATAATTTTTTTCCTTTTAAATCAATAGTAAATTATTATGAAGTGTTAGCTCACAAGACCAAAGACCAGTGGTAGAGATATCTAACAAAGATATATTTTATTTTAGTCCTAAATCCTCAGCTATTTAATATCTTAACTGAAGTTTGCTCACACTTTTCCTTTGCGTAATGTTTTTTTTTTTCATTGCACTGGATGTGTTAAATGTTATGTCTAAGTATTACACACAGTAATTAGTTCAAAATGAAAGCAATAAAAGTTGCATCTACTCAAGAGTAAAAATTCAACTTTACCATGCAATAAAATATTATGTGGTTCAATTTTTCTTGGTTTTCAAAAATTTTTTAAACCAGGTTGTTGTAGATGTTTTAAAATGAGTACCCAGAGACTATTAGGAATTCCTGATGGAATGACAAGGGTACCACTTTAATGAACTTGCACCTTCCACAGTGGGAAGTAAAAACACTTCCAGTCACTTAATGCTACTCAAATTGGTATAAGCTCTTGCAGAAGGGACCTTGTGGCCCCTCAGAGCCTAAACAAGAATTTAACACCTGGGTTACATAAAAGTTACTCTCCTCTGAGGCAATGAAAAGTATCAAGAAATATCAAGGGCAGTGCAAGGGAGAGGACTCAGGGTGCATTTGACTCCCTTTTTGAAATGAAAACATGATTTATTATCACAACACAACTTAACATACTTCCACTTTCTACTGAGATGCCAGCTTAGAACCTCCAATCGAAAGATCCTTCCTACACAAGTGGGAATTGTTGCTGACAACATTCAGCCAACCTACAAATACAGTAGGAAAACAAAAATTGAAATAAAAGGAAGAGACTTGAATAAATAATGTTTCTATGTGGAGTGTGCATTAATTGCGAATCTGACTCATCTCCTCTCAGTACTACCCCACTACCGGTATGTGACTAATAAACTACCCTACTACCTCTCCCCTAGGCCCCTAAAGGTATCTGAAAATTAAACCTTAGGGTGGGACTGGGTACTAATTTGTCAGGGAAAGCGATTCAAGATGGCGGCGAGTGTTGTTCGTCAGTGTGGTCGCCATTTTCTTGGCAAATCATTAATCCGTCGTGTGCCTGTGGTTTCTTCTGTCCGGTAATGTATGAATTATATTTGCTACCTGTTCAAATTATTGCCGGCTGAGCACGAAATGAGCGTAAATGATGTTATGTAACAGTGTACCATCTTGGTGTTGTCATTAACGAATCCAATCTTGATAACGGATGAGCGAATGTTACATATAATTTTTCGGCCATTTATTTTTATTTCTTAAATGACAGTAGTACCTTTTGCGTGTGTGTGTCGGTATTTACCTTTTGGGATGTTATCGTCAACTGTTCCAGCATATGCTTGTGCCAGAGTCATGAATAGATAAACGTACTTGTTGTTTCACAGCAGATAAGATACTTTGCTTGCAAGCAGTCAAAGTGCACAATCAAAACAGATGTGCATTATCATTTGATATCTTGAAATAATGCAGTGGAGTATGTTACGTTACGTCCTATGACAGTGTAGAGCTAATCATTTGAATAATTCTCTTTAACCTGGGAAATCTCCAACCCCTGGTGGACCTAATTACTTTGTATTCATACCCGTTACATTATAGCTCACTTAACCCTTTAACCCTCCATCTTTATTTGTTGAGTAGACATCTACGACGGCTCCCTGTGAGTGAAGTAGAAGAGGAAATGAAACCACTGAAGTTGCAGGGTGAATTAGCCTCCATGGCAGGAACTATCATGTACCCGAATGAAGAGTCTGCCAAGTGGGACGTAGATGGTATATGTCTTTAACCTTTAAAACATATTTTCAAGAAAAAGTAACACCAATTTTATTTCAAAATCTTCAAGTTCTGGATAGTTATGTTGACGTAAAACGAATAATCAATTATGTGTCGAAAGTTAAATCCAGTTAATAGTAGTGTATAACTTATGTATTCTTCTATTTATTGTCATGTGTTTCTGTTTCTGTTTCTGTATTTTTCATCTCATACTGTCATTTCTGCTTTACTGATTTAATATTTAATTTCTGTTTCTTGTATATTTAATGAATCTTTTGTTGAGCCAAAAGTTATTAAAGATGTTTTAGCGTCCACACACTGCCCACCAAGACTAGCTCTGCTATTTGTGGGTAGTGCGTCATTTGTTAAGTGTCATGTCATGTCTGATTACAATAAAGTTGATCTTGATCTATCTGATACAAGACCAAATTCTCCTTTGTTATTCTTGAGGAAATTCATGGCAGTCAAAAGTGAGAATTACTTGGTTGGATATGGAGTTAAACATGAAGGCGCGCTATATAAGGAAGTCTTCCCTGGGAAGACCTAGGCTCATTTGTCACTCACCGTTGATGTGTGCGGGTCAAATTTAATTGCTGGTAGACAAACAAAAGGAGCTAATGAGATATCTATTGTTTACTTCCACCAGCATAGTGGGATGAGGTAAAGTGCAAACCCCCTGCTTCGATCTCAAATTTACTGCCACAAATAAAGACAGTTTCCATGGGAGAAAGGAAATATAAATCTCAAAAATTCTTGTATTGTGATGAAGACATAAAACAYTTTTGAGGAATGCACCTGCTGTTCACTGCTTTGGAGTAGCTGTAGCTCAAGCTGACCTGACTCTAAGAGTTCTACATCACACGACGGTTGATTGACAAAATTAATGGTCCAGTGGGACCTAAGGCTCCTTTTATTGTGCACCTTCATGTTTAAAGAGTCAAATGCTACTGAAGATGACGATGATAAAACAATGATGGCAATAATGATTTTGATGTGGACTTTAATGGTGATATTGATATTAATGATGGCTATGCAAGCCCTAAGATTTTATGGTAACAATCATTTCTGGCAAGTTACGGAATTATTGACGAAACATTTATAATAAACTTGAACCTACAACACTTGTATCATTGCATAATTGTAACATCACAATGATGCTAATGATAGTAAAAAGGGTTCCTATGAATTTTTTCCACAACCAGGGCACTGTTCTCACTATAACCTCTGGGTGTGGACCTGAAAAACTGTTTTCTGTAGGATTTTGAATCGTAATGCGTGACAGTGTCAGTGATGCAGACAATCTATTTTTTTTTTCTCCCTCTGTAGTTCCTATTCAGGAAAAACTGGTTACAAACATGACAGTCAACTTTGGTCCCCAACATCCAGCTGCCCAGGGAGTGTTAAGGCTTGTTCTGGAACTTGATGGAGAGGTTGGGTTACTTTTATTACTGAAGTTTTTCGGTAAACACAAACTATTCTTCTCATGTGAATTGAGCATCCAGGCTCAGAATATATCTTATATAATCTCAGTTACTATAGTTACTATATTTTTGTTGATAGATATAATACTTGTGTTAAACAAAATATTGAGCCAAGTTAAAAAATCAAATGACAACACATGCACAAATCCAATGTAAATCTGATGTGACTTGTTCTTTAATACAAAAAATTAACCATAGCAGTCACTGATGCCTTCAGAATAAGACTAGTAAGTTATCAACTCTTTCCTTTCTTTCCTTTTCAGGTTATTATACGTGCAGATCCACACATTGGCCTTTTGCATCGTGCAACTGAGAAGTTGATAGAGTACAAAACATATCTGCAGGTGTGTAGAGGATTAAAGTTGTAAATTAAATCCCAAACTTTGTATTGTATCATTTGAAAGTGGTTCTGTAAAGCATAAAGTTTGTGGATTAAACCCTGTGAATGTGTAAACCAAGCTATATCACTCTGTTTGTAATAAGCTGTCATCATGAGTTAACCATTTTTTGAAAATGAAAGCAAGTGAGCAGTACCTTCATGAAGTACTGTTTTGTTTGCAGTACAAGGGGACTCTAGCCTTGAAGTTTGACCATTTATTGAAAATGAAAGCTAGTGAGCAGTACTACCTTCATGAAGTACTGTTTTGTTTGCAGTACAAGGGGACTCTAGCCTTGAAGTTTGTGACTAAACTTTTAGTGTAGGCTCATTGAAAGATACCAAGCCCTACTTTACTCCTTTACAGCCTAGCATCTGTATTCCCATATTCTCCATACTGTTCTCTCTACATTACCTGTGGTACTGACTGGGAGAATTTGTTTGACAATCAAGAAGTTGTTCAGTTGGCTACATTTCTGTTATTCTTCTCACCTTAATGTTTGAACTGGAAGGAGAAGTTAGATGTTAATCTCTTGGAGGAGTTAAATGTTTACAGCGGCACTGTTCATTATTCTGCACTTGGTGGTTACAAACCTTAATAAGTGAAATCCAAATACCAGCTGTTAGCAGTTTTTGCATTGTACTAGTCTTGTTTTCTTTGTTAGTGGCCCTTGTTTTGAGTGAAAGTGAAAGTGAAAATTCTCATTTTGACTGCATCAATAATTTTTCAGGCTCTGCCTTACTTTGATCGCTTGGATTATGTTTCCATGATGACAAATGAGCAGTGCTACTCTTTGGCAGTGGAGAGACTTCTAAACATCGATATTCCAGAAAGGGCTAAATGGATCAGAGGTACACTGTACATTAGAGGCCTGTCCCAATAGCTAATAGTTAAGGTATTCTTGGAATACAAACAGCTTGATAGAACATGCAGTCAAATAAAGGAAGTTAAACAAAATTGCTAAAAAAAATTTTAGAGTTTGCAAGTAAAGTTGAAGTTATTAAAAAGCAGTATCTCATTTTCTGCACTGCCCTTCTGCTTCATGAATCTATTGCTGAATCTTGTGAATTTTTGTGAATCTTTGTGAATTTTTTTTCCTTTTACAGTGTTGTTTGCAGAGATCACCAGAGTACTGAACCATATCATGGGTGTAGGTACTCATGCTCTTGATGTAGGTGCCATGACACCATTCTTTTGGCTGTTTGAGGAGAGAGAAAAGGTGATTGTAATCAGTTGACTAAATGATTATTATCCATGATAGGTGGAATTAGACATTTTCATTTTCAGGGTTGTCAATTAAGTGAGTGACCAGTGCATTCCATCATCTATGCCAGCTATTCTGAATACTTTTAGCTCAACTCTCAGCCAGGAGGCATTACATTTATGAACCCTAGTGCACCCTGTTTTGTATCACATTGCAAGGATTCAGAATCTTTTTGACAACCCTGATTATACATCAGCACCAACAGGTTAACGTACTAAGTTCTAGACTGAAATGGTCTTTGTTCAAGCCTTGCACTGGGTCATTGGTGTTATGGTCCTAAGGACAAGATATGCTATTCTCAAAGAGCCTCTCTCTATCAGGGACTATAAACTGTTACTAAAAAACTGTTAGCCCTTTGATCCCCAGAGAGTGACTAACACGTAATTCTTCCTTACAGCATC